GATACCCACCTCTAGACACAGCTTTAGGGCCAGTGAGAGCTCTGCAAGACAGGTGTCCTCCTGCAGGGAAGATAAGTCTCTAGGATGTGTATGTGTAGGGAATTTGGGAATTATGTGGAGTTAAAATTAGTGGTCTGTAGCACTACCTCGAGAGACTCCCATAAGGACATAAAATCTTAAGCAACTTTAAGTCTTCTACCGAGAAGGAAACAAAAGTGTCTAAATGACCATGGAATACTCACCAGCTGGCCACTCTTTAGAACTTTGCTGTTGATCTGACTTAGGCTCACCTCACATTTTAGCCTGGAAAAGTAAAAAAAATTAAGATGTTGGCCTCTTCTCTCAACTATTTACCTTCAGTCAAGCTTCCTTGGCTAGAAGAGAGAAGGCAAAAAAAAAAAACAACCCTAATCTTAGTGTCCCCTCAAATTGCTCAGAACAAGAACCTGATGCCTTGATAAGAAGCCTTTGATACAAACCCATCCTGAAACAACTCCCAGGTAAGAACAGGACTACCAAATACTCTACTACCTGGTGCTTACCTTTTCCCATCACTATCCAAAAGAAAGCTGCATTCCCTGATCTGAATATGCCACAAGGATTCAGATGTAGCCACTTGGAGAACCATGATATTTATAGAGTCTACATGAATGGAGAAGAGCTGAAAGGAAGAAGCAAAGATTAACCGTAATTAACATCAAGGCACTACCCTTCCTTTTCAGTAGATAGTGACAGTGATATTCTTAGTATTAATGCCTCCAGAATAGAAGGACCCACCCAAAGCTCCTAAATTAGTCACCCCTAGTCTAGCCCCAGAGAAAGAATGCAGTCTCACCTGGCAGAAAATCTTTAATAAAGCTGGACTAAAGGACACCTCCTTCTGATGTACCCCAGTGCTCTGAGAGAATGGGGCAAACAGGCTAGAAACCTTCTGTAGGTCCGTTCTGATACGTACTTCTCCAAAACACAATGCCACATAGTTTCTGTCCAGAAAAGAAAGCTCACTGCCATCAGGTCCATCCTTCCTATAACAGTCTCTTCCCCTCCCTCACATTCACTCTCCCATGCTCCCTTGAGATGTAGCTCGAGTCATGGAGGGTAGCCTCATAGTAGTTATAAGTACAGGCCTCAGAAAATAATAGCTTCCAGACTAAGGTGGGGGGGGCATACTTGGGGGGGAAAGGGAGGCAGCAGCAAGAATCTACTTCCCTTCTTGGGTTATGAGACCTCTACATAAGATTCTTTCAGCAATTTCCAATCCAAAAATATTCCCCAGGGGAAGAGTGAAGATAGAATACTTACGGCAGATCATGGCTAAGCAGTTTGCTGGAAATCCACAGGCTATCAATTTCCTAAAACAGTGTGGGAGAAAGCTTTGTATACTAGCTGTTAGGTAAGCCATGAATAATCTGATAAACTACGAAAGATCTAAGAAAAGGAGTGTCATATCCCTTCCACTAAATATTCTCCACTCCATTTCCACCAGCTTCTCTCCTCAGCATTGTATCATGTTCCTCACAATGATGTTAGTTAAAATTGATTTGTACTTCTCTTTTATGAACATTTCTTGCTTCCCCTCTTAATTTAGAACAATAGCTCCTAGTTTCTGTTATTTTCTTTTCATGCTTTACTTCTGTAACTTTTTAAAATGCCCTGGAGACTCTGCCTTCTATACTTTTTTAAAGGAAAAATTTGGATCAATCCTAGTATTCCCAAACTAATTCTAAAATCATTTTCTTGCAAAGCTAGGTTAACTAGGAAAAGTTACTTCCAATTTTAAAAAGGAAATTAAAACTGAAACTCAGCAAAATCAACTCCACACAAATTCCCCGGGAGTTCCCACACAGACCCAGGACTCACCACTGTTTGCTGGTGCTGCTGAAACTTAAGACTGACATTTTGGATCCAAAAAAAGGAGCCAATCTTTAGCTCTGCCTGCAACTTCCGCTGACACCAATTAGTAGCCAACCTGACCACAAGCCACCTGCAGAAAAATTGCTGTAAGTTCACAGGACCCTCTCCCAATTAATAGATTCTGACACCCCTTGGTGGTCCTAGAAGGCCTTGCAAAGGTTATCTCCTGAAGCTGGTAACTTGTCTCCTTTAACACCACTGTCACAGTCAGCCACACGGATCAGAAACCTAACAGCCCGGAGTGTTCCAAGATAAAGCAGCAAAACTAAACCCCGCCCTCTAAGTTGGGGACAAAAAGAAAAAATGGAATCCCTCAAGTCTTTCACGATCCTGTAAGTACAGAAGAGGACCCACAGTAGCCAAAGTACATGTTAGACATGCATTTCAAACTTCCCCCAAAAGGGTCTCCGTCTCTGCCCTCCAGACAGGTGTCCACGAGAAGGCACAGCGGGGTCAAGCGGCCAGCTCAAATGCCACTTTCTCCAGAACCGTCTGATCAGTTCCAGCTTCCTAGGGCGCGGCTGCAGGTGCCCTTTGCACTATGCAAAGGGGACACTCAAGGGAGAGTGGTTTGTAAGGGGACTCACGGAACTAGCCCCCCCCCACACACACACCCCTATTCAATTCCTGCCCCTGCATAGTCAGGCCTCGCCCCGTTCCAGCGTCCCTGCACTCCCAGCTCCTTCGTGTCAGCTCTGGCTTACGCCCCCGCTTCTCGTCGGGCGCCCCCTCCTCGCCACCTCCCTCTCCGCCGCCCGCGCATCGTTCCCTCCAGTTGCTCCCCACTCCCGTGCGCCCCTTTCCAGCTCTGTCCCCTCCTCAATCTTTCCCCTCCCCCCCCCAGACCTCCACCCTCGCTGTAACCGGGAACCCCCTCACCGGCCAAGGAAGAGGGCGCCAAATGCAAGCAAGAGCAAGGACAACAGCGCAGCG